CAAGTTTATAGATGGTCGCAATAGCAACATAGAATGTTTGTCATGTTGCATTCCGTGTTCAGGTCTGCATTGTTCATTCATAAGCTTGGTCGAACCATGGATCATAAAAACACCATGGTCGTACGCAACTAATTAACATGAACGGCGCGCGCGTGCTGCTGTAATGCGGAGTACAGTCAGTGAGTGTACTCCAAGTGCAAATAGTGATGTGTGCTGTACCGGGTGTCCCAAAAAAAAGTACTCCGGTTTGATTCGTAATACTGACTTCTAAACAAGTAAAGTTTTTAAAGAGAAATAACTTGCATCAAATAGAGGAAGGACTACCTTAAATTTTGATATGTTACAGTTGTATTTCACTTAAAAATTCACAGCGATATTAATGTTTAAAATCGGGAGCATATTTCTGGATGTGTTTGAAACATGCAAAAAACGGCGTATCAAATATTAATCAAGATTTGCCCGACTGAAACATGCACTATTACCAGTAAATAAATGACACTTGACAAATTGTTTATTATGAAACAAAGTATTATTATCTACAAAATACAAGCAAGATTTATTCGTCCGAAATCCGCGTGTGTTCCTAGCACGAATACGTTTCCTTATTTCATGAGACCACTGCATCGTGAAGAATCGTCATGGATCGTTCGTATAGTTCTGAATTAGGGCATGCTGTCACAATGGAATTGTGAAGCTCTTCTAACTTCTGCAACGTTCTGAAATCTTGTTAAGAACACCCAAACTCTTTTGCCTTTTCTTAATCTTGGCAAGTTCAGAATAAACTGAGAATGAAACACACGCAACTCCCCAGATACATCCAACATTTTTGGAACAAAACGTAACAAAATAGTGGCGTTGATACTGTGATGTGTATTTGCAAAAAGCGATATTATTTCCTTCATTAAAGAATAATATTCATCCTGCTCTAACCGAGAAATAATCAACTTTGTTTTGAACCCATGAAAAACATAAAAAAATTAGGCTATTTAAGAAACATTTAAGCGCCAGCCTTGCATGGTCTTTCATGTACCTTTAAGTTTGTAAAGACCTATTAAATACTTGCATAATTTCGAACGTTCATAATTCAGGAAACAATGTGCTAAGACTTATATGTAAGATGTCTAAATCTACGCCATATCCCTTACAAACCCTAACGACAATTCGCTGAAATACAAGTTAGCCTGATATGTCATTAAGCAAACAAATGCTGGAGTAAATATTTGATATGCCGATTTTCGCTAATTTTAGACACATCCCAAAATATGCTCCCGATTTTGAACATTAATATCTCCGTGAATTTGTAAGTAAAATACAACTGTAATATATCAAAATCTAAGTTAGTCCTTCCTCTATTTAATGCAAGTTATTTCTGTTTGATAGCTTTACTTGTTTAGAAGTTATTATAAATCAAACCGGAGTACTTTTTTTTGGGACACCCGGTATATATTCTAGACTTGAAAAATAAATTAAGATGCATGTTGATTACAATAAAGTGCTCAAAGTTCATGCTTATTAAAATTAAACGCGTTAAGTTGCATGCTTAGTAAAATTAAGGGCATGAAAACCAGTGCATGCTAATTTAAATTGACTGCGCGCGATAATAGCAAAATGCGCCAAAATTCTAAATATAGAAATGCACACATCGCAAATTCAAAATGCATCCTAGTTTCCTGACAGCTTTTACAAACTGTTGTAAAATATGTTTGCCCATTGGATTCATTTGCCACGCACCTTGTCCTGAACATATCATTCTGAAATATTTTCAGGTTTCAAGGTTAAGATAAATGTACCCTTATATGTAACACAATTTGTTCATAAAGAGATATTTGTCTTGCGCAATCTGTAAACTAAATTTTCGGTTGGTCTACAATTTTTTTTTAACATCTCGTGAGATTTTTTTTATTTTTTGAGTTGTCCTTTAGCAAGATCTTTACTTTTCTGGGTTTTGGTAGGTATGGTATATATTATAGTATTCGGTATTATACCTATGAGACCAGTCAACCAAAGAAGCTGTTACCTCTTGCAAAGAACTGTTATCTGCGTGTTCAACGATGTATTCTGAAACACTAGTGTCATCATATCCGCGTATTTCATCATATCCCCATCAAATTGTTCGTTGGAAATTTCATGGTCGGTGACCAGAAAAAGCCATGGGCCAATTAGCTTGTTCCTTGGAGGACACCAGCAATAACAGGTTTTCAATTTGAGAAAAATTTCGAGGAAAACTTTACCCTCTGTAATCGTCCTCTCAAAAAATCTGAGATCAAGTTTAAGGTTACAGGATACCCTAGCCATGCCTTTCGGGAGATCCGCTGTAACTCGATCAATTTTAATCCCAATTCCATCAAATTTTCACCGAATGTAGTTAGATAAATGTAGTATAAGATGTTCTTATCATATGTACGAAAGAATAAATACTTATTCAGATATTTGCCGAAGTCTAAAATCGCGGTACTTCCGCGCCGTGAAGTTTGTTAGACGCCGGTTTACTCAAATCCTATAAAAATATCAATTTTACTCTTCTCAAAGGTTGTTCTAAAAAACGGTGTTCGCGTTTTGTAGTTGCTTTAGGGGTTCATGAGTTACGGCATATTCATTCCGGACCTATGCTATATTGCAACTAATTGACAACAAAAAGCTTGTAACTTGCTTATTATTTGAATAAAAAGCTCGCGCGCACACCGTTTTGTAGGCGAAATATGTACCTATGCTGTGTGGAAATTTGACAAAAATCGGTTAAAACGAACGCTTAACAAACTTTATTTAGTGCGTATATTCGACTCAAAATTCAAGTGTCTCAAAAAGCGCTTTGAAAATTTCGCGGGTTTTCTTTCAGTGTAATCAGGTACTGCGCCTACTGTGACGTACTGTCATTATAAAGTTAATCCGATGACAGATAACGTTTGCGGCAAGACCACAATATATAATCAAGTCATGCCTAAACGAAAAGGAAGACAAACCAACGCGCCACAAAAAAGCGCAGAATCTCAAAAGCGACAAAAATGCAGAACGATAGAGTTCAGCTGATGGCGATGTGGACCACAAAGAAAAACTAATGGCAACGATGAAAGATAAAGTCTTAAAGGGTAAGGAAACTTAGTTTATCGCATTTTGATCGGACGATATTTTGCTAGTTGACGTTATAAAAAGCCATGCATTTGTTCTCTCTCTTCAGTTACGATGGAGCAAACTTTATCAAGAATATTGAGGCTCATGGTGTTGACGATTGACTAAAGAAGCGTGGTAAACCTCCTAGAATTGTACGGTATTTTTTTATTGTGGATAGGCACACGCGCTGATCGTAACTTTACAATCACTGAGTTATATACATAATTGCACCTGGTTCGCTGGATTTTTGCACAATTTGCGTTTTTAGTACGCCGCGCATCGTATTGTTTTTGGAAATAAAAGACTTTATTGTAAAATGTCATTAAATTTTCGTTCATTTATAGAAACAGGGAATCGGTCCCAAGGATGCGGCTTATGGATATCCTGTCGAAGTACTAAATTTCCTGACCGGTATCGCAGTGATGTAAAAGGAGAGAAAGAGAAGCGAGTTTGATATTCTGTACGCAAAGCCAAAGGTCACTATAAAAGCCGCGCAGAGAACGAAAGGGCTAATTCTAATAAAGCTTTTCCAGTTTTCCGGTTAGTCATGCACTTGTGGCTAAATTAGTAAATATGGCAGAAATAATAAGTCCCCAAATCAATGTTTTTATTCTGCTCCTAAGATGCTTACAATATTGAGCTGGACATATTTTGTGAAGCTTTGAAGATCCCAAAGTTGTGTGTAGACTATTATAGTGTTAGTCTAATATGACTATAATGCATTCTTCATGTTATATTATGATAAACATACTCATGTAAATATACTTACATATTATATTCTATTATTATGCTAGTAAATATTAGGCAAACTGTTCTAAATTGTGGCCTTTATGGGCATTGATTCATCTCTACAGAATGGTTTTAACTTTTAAGGTCACTTTCTGCCAGTGATTTCTTTCTCTCCTCTGTGAACAAATTGTTGGTCTTGGGTTTGAGTTTCTTCCGACGGCCGCAAAAAGGGGTTTTATTGCTTTTGCCAGAATCAGCTTTTATTCACGGCATTTTTTCAGCAAAGATTACAGTGCAAGAGAAATGTGCGTCTACAACCGCATGTTGTGATAACGGATACGAGATGACATATACACTAATTGAATTGCACAAGGTGTCGATTTTCTGTCAAACATAGTTCCCGCCAAACATATAGACTTCAATTGCGTTTTACTAAGTAACCTGTTTAATTTTAAAGTTACTGATTTACATATTTTCCCAGACGACACATATGCTCAAAAGCAACAAGAACATGTAAAGAAAAAAAAAATCAATTTTTTTACGTTCTAGGGTATCCTGTAACCTTAATATGTATTAGCATGAATAAAGATTTAAGTAAACAGAATCTACTATTAATATGGCATTTGGCTTTGTGGATGGCTATTTTGTTTTTACCATATTTGTTGATGGACTGTATTTGACATTAAAAAATTGCAATATTTGTAGGAATTGCATGGTTTAATACAATACTAGCTTTTTAGAATTTTATTGAGCTATTTAGAATTTTATTTAGCTATATAGTTGTTTAAGATTCCACCGTAAAGCAAGGAAAAATTCTTTATTTCACACCTGATATTTGGTTCACTAGATACTATATATGTATTTAAAATAAGATCAATATCATTGAATATTTTTTAATATAATAAAATTCAAATATACATACAAAAATGGACAAATACTGCTTCATTGTTTGTAGCTTCTGTATAATTTTTTAAGATATATACATTTTTTATGAACTGTGCATCTTCCCTAGTATTAAAATTCATGCATAGAATTTGCTATTGAATAATAGACCATCCACGATATAAGAAATACAACATTTTTTCTTTGCAGTGTAGACTTGAGGTAGAAATCATGGTATCGATTAGTGTCAGAGTGGTTGAAGAGAAAACTGTATTACTAAAATGGATCTTTTTTATATGGACCCTTACCTGTTTTTGACTTATGAAGATGTGTTGAAGAAAATTATTGAAGAAAATGATGACATATGCAAGGGTGCCCACTTGTGCTTTGCAACAGCATCATCAACATTTTCGTGCATTGAGGAAATTCGGGGAGACCCAAATGTCAATGTAATTGACATAAACAAATCTTTTGGAATGAGATTTTTTACCCCTTATGTTACACAACATAAATATGGCTGTGTATGTCAGGAACTAACCGATAAGGAACCTACTCAACGAAATGCCTTTGACGTGATGATGGAGAGTGCCAGAAGAGTAGCATTAGATGCAGTGCCTGTTCCAATTCCAGAAAATAGTAATTTGGGCAAGATGTACAATGCAGTGCTTCCGTTTTGCCTTGAGAATGGAAGCACATTTCCAAGTAATAGTTCTGCCTCAGTTGGAAAGACATTTATTAAACATCTTGCTTCTTTGTTATGGTATTTAGATGGTCATTATAGTAAAATCAATGACAATGAAAACAAGGTGCCGGAAACTTTTGTCAAGAATTTCATTGGTATCAAGTCACCAGAATTATATAAACATTGGAAAAGGCCAATGTTAATCTCACATTAAAGAAGTCACTCAGTGCATGCCCTTCTTTCAGGGTGAATCTTGGAAAGACACAAGTTTCATGATCTTCGGGCTCCTTAGTAACATTGATGAGTATGTTTTCTACCTGCGCAAGAAATGTAAATTGGTAGAATTTGGGCAAAGTACGCTGCGGCCAAATTTTGAAGAAAAAGCAAATGTTGAAGGCCAATACTGCAATAAAGATTCAAGCATTAAGGAATCTGGATAACAAGCTCAGTGATACTGCCGTGTTTACTCCAATCTGTGTAAGAGAAGAGTAGTGTGTATATAATTATTATTATTTTTCCATGGGGGTGTGGGAACCAAGAAAAAATAACTGGAAATAGTATTATGTGAGTGTTGTGAATTGGGTGTGTTAGGGCGTTGACTGGGTCTGTACGGATGGGGGGAACTTTGTGTGTCACATGGTTTTGTATAAGATTGTATTGTGTGTGTGGTGATTGGCTATTTTTTCTTGGTTCCCACACCTGATTCGTCACTATAGTGACGGTCGATGAGCACATCCGAACCCTTGATCGATCAAAGTGATTAGGATTTGAAAGTGCACGCCATTTTATGGTTGGTGGGATGACGTCATGGTCGCGGGCTGTGATTGGTGCAGGGGATGGACCAATGAGGAGGCGGTATTTTGGAAATGACGTCACACTCATGTAATGGACTAATTGGAGTGCAGTATTATGATGGATAATTATGTATGCAGAGGGACAATGAGGGATACTGATGTGTAATTTAGGTGTGGCTGATGGATAATAATGGATAAATGATGGGTAATTATAGGGTACATGAGAGTGATGAGGGGTAATAAGAATGTCATTGGGATAAGTTGAAAAAAATTTATTAAAAAAATATTAAGTTATTTACAATTTTTTTCGCCAAAAATACCTTTCTCTAAATTTTTTCCATATACAGGATTTGTTCTAATATATTTTTTTGTTCTTTTATCTTATCTAAAGCTTTTTTTCTATAGTCCGTAAGAAACTCATAACAACTATAGTGTTTTATATTGTGTACTTTTATTTTTTCTTTGCTTCGTGTTAGTATTGTTCTTTTTTCACTCCCATCCATCGCATATAAGATAAGTTCTTGAGCGGTGATTTTGTCATTGTCTTGATTTTCATTTGCAATGTTCGACAGCATTTCATTTTGTGTGGGTCTGCCAGCACTTCGTTTGTTTTCATTTGTTTGCGGTGTTATATTAGCTATACGTCTATGTTTGTTCACAGATTTTGGCGGTATGTATTTCTTTCGTGATTTGAATATTTTTATGACCTAGAGTTGCTGGTTGGATTGGTGGTAGTGTTGCTGGCAGTGGCGATGATGAAGGTGTTGATGTTGCAGAAGATGTGGGTGGTGGGGGTGGTAGTAATGTTGGGGGTTGTTGCGTGATTATTTCATCGAAGAAGAGGTTGCTGGGTAAATTTTCGATGAGGTCATTGGGAAGTCCTAGGTAACTTGATATGAGTTGTTCAGCTGCTTGGGCTGCTTGTGTTTCCTTCCACACTGTTGTCTGTTTACACTGTAGTGGTTTTCGATGTTGTTTGGGTGGTGGTGTTGAATTTCATACACTGACTTTCTGTGGGGAAAGTTTTGTTCGTATATGAAGTGATAACTGCGGAGGGTTGAGGTTTTGTATTTTGCTGCTGTTTCCATCGTATGAAGGCTAATTCGTAACTTAGGTTCGTATTATTTTTAAATTTGTAGAACTCTAAGAACATACCCATGTAATTTTATACATCATAGGATCTGACATAGTTGTGCCATGATAATCTAAGAATGTCAGAAAATCTTGTTGCAGGATAATACATCCTTTGTGCATGATAATTGTGAATGTTTTGAGGATGCTTGTAAATGTAAATCTGTTGTTGATAGGCTCTCTGTTTTATGCTAAATTTATCATTTTTTTCTGAATAAATCGTTTGCTCTGTGTATGTATTCTTTCAGTATTGTGTGATTTGAGAATGGGCGAGTATCTTGAAAGTTTATTTTCAAGACAGCATAATCAACTGCGACATGCTGAACAATGTTTCGTAGACAAATGCTGAACAATGTTACGCATGTGATAGATTGTGAGGCGTATATGATTTCGAAAGGAAGTATTTATTTAAGAGAGATTTCGGTGCACAGAATGTGTGACCATGTCACAATGTCTTATCAGATATATATGCCGTCGGCGTCTTTTAATGAGAAGAGTAAAAGTCTACAATATCAGGTAAAAAAGTTCAAGGTTTACCCATAGTTCGATTGAAACAAACGGATGACTTTCTATTATACTCTGAAGTATGGGAGTTGCTGTGAAACGAATTTATACAATCGGCCGATTTGGTCTGTTATTAAGGTGGTACCATTGAAAGAGATTTACTAAAACGGTTAGGGACAAAAGGAATTAATATAGTAATTTTAGGTTGTTCCAAATACATTGACTTAATTACCAAATATGGTATTTCACCGCTTCATTGTCAGTATTACAATCCTGGCGATTATCATTGTTCAAGACATGAAGTTGAGATATTTGCCAGGTATCTCAGAGAGCTCCTGATTGACACTTCTGTGGACACGTATAAAATATAGTACTGTTGTGGTATAATGCACAACAAAAAGCACACAAATTTAACTATCATACTTTGTGTCTGGTAAAAAATGTCTACATATTTAATGGCTTCTTGGGTTGATGCATTCAAAGGCAGTGAAGCTGTAGTAGATCTTCTGCAGCAACCATAGACAATTTATACCTCACAATATATGCCATAACAAGAAGAAGACCCTCTCCCACAGCTATTTTTGCCTGGGTTTTACTGTTCAATGGAAGGTACTTCCACCCACATTCATTTATTCACTTGAATTAGGATGTGAGTAGTGTTGACAGGTTCATCACAGATTAGGGAACACTTTGATCATGTGCAGAACAAGAGACAGATGTTTCCAAGCTATCTAAAAGCACAAATTATAATAATTGTATGCTGCCGTTTTTATACAGTTATCATAGATAAATTTCCATTTGGCATATACAAAAAGTCCTCCTTTAATAGATTGAAAATTATAAACTATTAAAGTGCTTATGAAACGAAATGAGTGATGAAGAATGATGTTTACAGTTTCTTCATATCTCAATCTCAAGTTATCACACTTTCTATACTTTGAGTTGTGACATCACTAGTTTGACTTGAGATAATGATGATAACAAGAAAGTCTGATATCTTGGCGAGTATTTAATAAAATTCAATGAAACTCGGTACACTTAGTGGGTGCACCCATATGAATATTTTTGGCAGGTCATGTGGTTGTCATGGTAGCCTGCAAACAGGCTCTCAAGCTGAATTGAGAGCCTGCATCGATGACTAATGAATTTGAATATCTGCCTCTCAAATCGTGACACGAAATTCTCATTGGTCAGATGCTATAATTTATATGTTTCCTCTGAGCTCTATATATGTCAACTGCTGAACTATACATAAAAAACACATTAACTGATCAAATTGGTCTTGGCCATCTTATCTCAAAGCACGAAATGTTCTGTTTTGAGAAAACAGTATTTAAAACATTTAAACTATTGCTTGAATATCTTATATTTCGAAAAACAGTATAAACTGCACGGTCTAAATTTAGTTTGCATGGTCTAAATTTAGTTTGCACGAAAGTTGTAAACAACACCGTATAAGGATAGACATTCCGTATTTGGAAAAACGAATGTTACGGGGCAGATATTCAAATTCATTAGTCATTGATGCAGGTGTCAATTCAGCTTGAGAGCCTGTTCGCAGGCTATTGTCATCGCAACTCTTCCTTTTCCCAAATTTCCTCCTGTAGACCTCTTGCAGAGGATGTTTATATGATATAATGGTTTACACTGATCACAATCCCTACATGTATATAGTAATAGCGAAAATTACAGAGTAATTGCTATTTACTTCGTTGGAAATGGATCAAATAGAAATTGGAAAAGAAAGGACTGTGGATGTATGTGTTAACATTACAACCAAATAAACAAGCCAAATTGTTCACTTCGTTGCACCCACTAAGTGTGCCATGTTTCATTGAATTTTATTAAATAATCAAGATATCAGATTTTCTGTTTTTTGCCACTATTATGAGTCAAACTAGTGACGTCACAACTCAAAATATAGAAAGTGTGATCACTTGGGAATGAGATATGAATAAACTGTAAACTTCATTCCTCATCATTTGGGCAGTACCCTTTTAATAAAACAATAAAAAAATGAGGCAAAAATTTTGTTTCATAAGCACGTAAGGAATAGATTTGATCAAACATTGTTGATTGATTGTTAATATCATCATCATATCATGACATGATATCACTGACACATGCAAACCAAGATTAATCATTCACATGGACAAGAATATTTTATATTCAAACCTGAGTTTTATATTCAAACCATTTAGGTTTGTGTCATGTTGGTCTTGTTAATGCAAGATCAAGATTTGCAAGATCAAGATTTGCCTCGAAGCATTCGACTTGATCACACTTTCATTCTCTCTTCTCCATAGTGTCGAAGGCGAGGGCTCACCTTTCTGATCATATCTCTAGTGTTTATAACTACGACCTGTTGGTGACTCATTACAACACTGCCCCACACAAGTTCTAATGCCATGCACATTTTACTCTGTCTAATGCCTGATGATTTACTGTTATTAACACCCAATGATTTTACTCATCAAGGGCTTAATAGATTGCAGTAAATAGTACAATTGTCCAGGTCCATCGATTAAACTGAGGTCCACCTAAGAGACTACAGTACTTTCATACAGTTAGCTGATTGAGTGACAGAAGTTAGCATTTACATGTAGAGAGAGTAAAATAATAAAGTAAGGTGCTTTTTTAATAATAAAGTAATAAAATAATAAAGCAAGGTGCTATTTTCACTTAATTAATTTAAAGTGCTTATAAATGCAAAATGGGTTTTTATTGATTCGGATAGAGCATAAAAAGTTAGTTAGTAAGTTCTAGATTAGTTTTTTTGCTTGGACTTTTAGTTTCAGAGATACAAGGGCTCAAACAGGCAAATTTGGCCATTTTTTTTAAAAAAAGTAGCGCAACCAAAATATCACCAAGGGGCCTGTATCCCAGGAACCCATCTTCGACAACAACTATACTATTGTATACGAAAACATAAATATTAAGAGTTTTTCCTCGAAAAAAATGCCCGAACGATGCGTTGTTTATGAGTGTTCTAACACTGCAGACACAAAGAATGGTATATTTCTATATCAGATACCTTTTTGGAGTGACAATTCGACCGTAGTGGCAAAACGAAAGAAAATATGGGTGAACTTCATTCGACGCAGAAGAGACAAATGGACGCCAACACGTTCATCAGCTGTATGCTCAAAGCACTTCACCGAAGACTGTTTTGAATACGGTTCTTCTACAGTTCCTACATACAAGACCCCCAGACTGAAAAGGGATGATATTGGAGTTTCTGTGTTTCCTTCGTTGGACATACATCAAATTTTGGGCAGTCCAGAAAGTGAGCGCACGAAACGCATCAAGCGAATATTTTCTTTCTTATATCAAAAGAATCATCGTACATACAGTTTTAAAATAGCAATTTTATTTACTCTCTATTGCCTTATATAGCTTATTTTTTCCTTAACGTATGAATGCCATGCAAGCTGAGACTCTATTAAAAACATATGTGCACAAAGAAATAAGTACATTTCAAAATATTATAATATATATATATATAATCCCCTGAGTACTGTAGGAAATAGACAATACTATTGGATACTCATGTGCACACTATATAATACAGGTATATTTTCTTACTGTTATTTCTATACACATGACATGTGTGTTATCAAGCCATTCCAATTATGATTAAAAATTTACGACAGTTTACAATAGACTCGCTGTTGGCTACTAGAAAAATTTTCTTTGCTTGTCCTTGAGTATATTACAAATCCTTCCCTAGTAATTCTTTGCGGTTTTCCCAATGTGAAACTGAAAGACTGCAGTATGTAGAACTTGCATATAGCGTATTATTTTACATATAATAACATTACATATAAAAGGCATCTCTTTTGCAACACAAGCCCTTGCAATTCGTTAAAATTACATGCATTTGTTAAAATACACACTCTGAACTTTATCGAATTGATATCGGCAACTAGATCAGTAAAATAAACTTACACTCCCCCACCCTCGGGTAAAAATTTTGTTATCTCCCAAAATCTGGGAGACATGTCACCAGCCTGGGCCAGGATCTTTCCTCCAGCAAAGCATGTAGTGGAAAGAGCCTGGGTACGAGGTTCAACCTGCACATCCTGTAACACCCTGATTTCATGGCTTCCAAATATGGTCAGATACTTCGGAGCACAACTATGACATAAAGCTGTACTAATGAATTGTCCAAGAAAGAATTAGTGAAGGAAGTTCTTGATGTTCAAGATTAGGGACTTCACAGTTTATGATCTGGTAGTGCTACAACTGCAGCTGCTCTGGGTATTCCAGACCGCCTGCTACTGAGGCAAGGAGGGTGGCATACTGCAAAGGCAAAGAACAATTACATTGTTGAGTAAAAAAACTCTTTACTTCATATTACAAAAACAATGCAGAAGGCATAAGCTGTATAAATTAACTCTATGTGTTGTATGGTTGCAGCTCCTACCAGTGTATGAGAAGTGTTGTACTAGCAATACTAGCCCAATCCTATGCCAAATGAGCTACACGATCAGGTCGGTTCGAGTATGTGATATTTTGGAACTGAGTCTAGTTCCTTTGATATCAATGCAATCTAGTAATCATGATTTTTTTTCTGTGTTGGTGTTATGTACTAGGGTGTATATGATGTTTGTGATGTTATTCTCAGTGTATATCCACACTGGGCAAGCTTGAAAAATATGCCTGGCCATGGTGGGAATCAAACCAACGACCTTTGAAATACTAGCCCAATGCTCTGCCAACTGAGCCAACCAACCTGACCGCGTAGCTCAGTATGTGATATCATAGGCATAAGACAAGGTCTCTTTTTCCAACTGCATGGCATAATACCTAGCAAGTCTATGCATCTGTATGGATTTTCTAGTGTGGTTATTCAAAGAACCATACAGTTGCATAATGACCGCATATTTGATAAAAACATTTTTTATGGTAAAATATATTACAACTAAGACTGTTCTAAAAGTTTTTTTCCCTTCATCTATAGTGACCCTTCGCCTGCTGTAGAAGAACTAAGCTTTATTACTAAACTAACGATTATTTACATACAACTATATTGGATACTAATTAGAATATTACTAAGGTAACATGGAATATTAATGAGGACATTACATCCCTCCTTGTCACTAGTTAAAAAGTATCTTTTCTCTAATTTAAAGTAAACCTAATAATGCCTAGAAGTTTTAAATATTTCTCTCAAGATTGTCCACATATCTTAAGTTCAAACTAATATCTACGGTAGAATAATTTTTTTTTGTCTTTTCCTTGATCTTTGATTGTTCAAATAAATTGTCTAAATCATCTATGTTATTATTGTTATCTAGTTATATATTTATATACTTATCTATCATCAAACATCCTTAATTGATGGTTGTGACATAGTCCGTGAATCTTGCGGGTTGTCTTCTTTGTCGATTTGATCTTCTTAACGATTCGGTTATTTCATCTTGATTGGGATTAGCTACAGATGGTGGATTCTCAGTTTGTGCTTCGTTTCCTTGCTTTTCTTGGTTTCTTTCAGGATTCAGCTCTGGTGGGATAACTTTAAACTGGGATGAGTTTCGTGTCACGGTCTTGAGATCATTACTAGCTGTCACCATAGTCCCTTTCTTCTCTTTCACCACAAATGGGTTTGGGTCAAATGGCGTACTCAACTTGTTTTGCTTAGGTTGCTTCACCAAGACTACCATTCCAGGACTAAGCGAACTTTCTCTTGCACGTGATTTGTTGTCAGCATACAACTTCTGCTTCGACTTCTGTTCGGCGTCTCTTCTTTCCATCTTTCTTTGTATATCATCATATATAACTCTTGGGAGGTCTGGTTCAGGTAAGGTCGTCTTGAGTTTCCTCTGGTTGAGGGC